CCTTTTAACTTAGTACTGAAGTCACTCCTGAGGTTCACCCTTCAGCTAAACATCAGACAGGCTCAGAAAACAAAACGAGACTAAATGGGCACACCAGCCTAGGGGCAAGGACAAGAAGGCAGGAGGGGACAGGAAAGCTGGTAATGGGGAACCCAAAGTCGAGAAGGGGAGAGTGTTGACATGTTGTGGGGTTGGCAATCAATGTCACAAAACAATATGTGCATTAACTGTTTAATGAGAAAGTAATTTGCTCTGTAAACCTTCATCTAAAGTACAATAAAAAAGAAATAAATGGATGGTATCACAAGAAGTGAACAGAGAATACAGCTTTCAGCAGGTTAGGTCTAATTTGACTCCTGTGAGCAGACAGTGGATGCACAAAACCCCTATATGCGCACCTTATTTTTCCTCCTTTCCCTCCTTCTTTCCTACCTGTGATGTCCCCCATATTTCTTGAGAAAAGAGACTAATGGAGAAGGGGAATAGAAGACAACACAGATGTACCTGCCCTCTCATAGCCAACCTCTACTCCCTCTTGTCCTCACAACTGGATCTTGAATTGGATCGGGGGGCCTCTGAGCAACAAATCTCACAGAGGTTGACATGAAATTTGTTGACATGAAAACCATCCAATTCAGGGGTCCAGGGGCTGTCCACAAAAGTCACGCCAGAGTCCCAGTTCCCCCAAAGTGCCTAATGTATAAAAGCGATAGAGGAGAGGTTGCGTATGGAATTCTTAGCTGTTGATCTTTAACCCCTACCTGTTTTTAATCTCTTAATGTACAGTATATATAGAAAAATTCTCTATATGGTGGCTTTGTCAGTATTTGTACGAGCAACAGCTAGGAATTCAATATTAGACTTGGTTCTGTGGACTCTTTAGGAACACAAAGCGACTCCATCCCTGACTAATTTACTCCAATTAGCTCCCAGTCACCAGGAGTAGGCTCAGAGGGGCAGGGTGCTGGTTACTCCAGCGTCTCTCAGAAGGCCTACCAGAACACCATGGACACAGCAGCCCTCAGCCTAACGAGAGAGAGGCTATTGTGGGGCAGCAGCAACAAGATTATGTGGATGAAGGGCATGTCATAAAGTGCTGTATGGCCAAAGAGTATGGCAGTTCCTATCTGCCACTAATGATCTCTCCTTTCTGCATCGTGTATTTTGAAAATGATAAAACAAATTTACTTTATCAGCCCAGAAGAAAAAGGAAGCATGTGGGCAAGGGAAAAAGGCCTAAGTGTGCCCTGCGCTACAATGAAGAAAATAAAGTCAAGTATAGTAAAAGCTGCCAAATGAAACTTAGCTCCCTCTATTCTTTTAACTAATCTCTGCTAGGAGAAAAAAATATTCTGCTTAACAAGAATTGCTTGTAAAGACTAAGTTTTGACTCTTTTCATTCAAGTCCTGCAAACATCAGTGGAACTCATTCATGTAAGGAATGGAGTAAGACCAGAACTATGATTGGGGCCCATGCAGTCAGGCCGGAATTCAAAACACAAAACACTGCAATAACTTGACAAACTCACTAAGTTAGGGTTACTCTAACCCCATTCCAAACTTGTGATGTTTGCCATTTGTTCTGGGGGAATCTGAGAGTGATTCTACATCAGCACTGTCCAATAGAACTTTCTGCATTGTCCAATACAGTAACCACTAGCCACATGTGATCACTAAGCACTTGAAATGGGGCTAGAACACCTGAGGAACTGAATTGTACATTTCATTTAGCTTTAATTAATAAAATTTAAATTTCAATAGCCACATGTGGCTAGTGCCTACCGAACTGAGACACACACACACACACACACACACACACACACAGTGCAGATTATAGAATCTGCTACATTTTTGCTTTCTCAATGATAACACCCAAAATTCCTGTTGAGTTTCTGCAGAGATACAACTCCAAGTCCCATGAATATTAAGTAAAACATTGCTTGAAATGATTACTTAGACAATGAAGAGATTCCTCACTTCATCAGTATATAAGATAAATTTTTAAGACCAGACTTAATGGTTTGACTGAGACTGAGGGACTCCGGAAGACATGGCCTCTGGACTCTGTTGGCCCAGAGCTGAAACCATTCCCAAGGCCGACTCTTCAGACAAAGATTAACTGGACTATTGGACATAAAGGGATACTCGTGAGGAGTGTGCTTCTTAGCTCAAGTAGATACATGAGTCTAAATGGGCAGCTCCTGTCCGGATGCAAGATGAGAAGGTAGAGAGGGTTAGGAGCTGGTTGAATGGACATGGGAAATCTGGGGTGGAAAGGAAGAGTGTGCTGTCCACAGTATAGGGAGAGCAACTAGGGTCACATCGCAACGTGTGCATAAATTTTTGTATGAGAAACTGACTGGAATTGTAAACTTTCACTTAAAACACACACAAAAAACATAAATTTTTACAGACAAATGTCATCTTATAATGTGAAAGGAATGACAGAATTAGAAAATCACCATGTTCAGTCCCCAGGGTAATAATTGTTTCAGGCAAGGATCATTAGTGGATGGTTTTGCTACTGGGTGAAGGGTTGTTGGAACTCTGGCTATTCACATGGTGTCAAAGGACCACTCTACAGATTACTTTTTAATTACAAAGGGGAAAGGGTACCTTTACAGTGGAGAGACCTTACCCAAGTAATCAAAGTTAACATCACTAATAAAGCAACAGCTGACAATATGCACCTCCTGATATGATGCAATAGGAAAGGCATAACATCACTTACATAGTATTTTTGCCCAAAATGATTGTGCTCAGCTGCTAACCGAAAGGTTGGTGGTTTGAACCCACCAGCTGCTCTGCAGGAGAAAGATGTGGCAGTCTGCTTCTGTAAAGATTACAGCCTTGGAAACCCTATGGGGCAGTTCTAGTTTGTCCTATAGGGTCGCTATGAGTCGGAATTGACTCGACAGCAACAAGTTTATCTCTAGTCATAAGAAAAACTAATCAGAAAAATATGGATTGTGGGATGTTCCACAAACAACTAGCCAGAATACTGAAAAAAAAAAAAAAAAAAACTAAAAAAAAAGAACCCTCAATGTCATAAGAAACACACACACCAAAAAAAATCAAGGTGACTGTTACAGATTAAAAGAGACTAAAGAGACATGTAAACTTTGATTGGATCCTGGATCCAGAGTGTGTGTGTGTGTGTGTGTGTGCGCGTGTGTGTATAAAATTCATGTCAATTTTCTTAGGTGTGGTAACAGTATTGTGATTATGTGAGAGACTGAATTACTAGGAGACACATATTGAGGTATTTGGGGGTACCAAGTCATTATGTCTGCAACGTACTTTGAAATGGTTAAGAGAGAGAGACTGAGAGAATACAAAAATGATTTAAAAATGACAAAAAGTTAACAAGTGGTGAATAAAGGTTAGTACTCAGATATTCATCATTCTTTCATTTTTTTTTTGCAAATTTTAAATTTTTCACAATTAAAAACGTATTTAATTATATCCTTGGTGAAACTACTTCTAAAACACATAAGTGTATTTTCCTGTCTCTGTAATTTAATCTAATACTGATGATTCAGGATCTCGTATTATTTCAGGGTCTGAAAACCACAACTTGTAAAGATTCATGGGTATAGTGTGCTATAACAGGTTGAGTGAGACTTAACCGATTCTAGTAATTATGTTGTTTTCTTTTCCAGGTAAGTCCTGGAATGTTTTGTTGAGATTCTCTTTCTCCTAATATGAAGGACAAGGAGAAAAATGCTAGTTGAGACAAATGGTTAATCAAATTCCAACTCATGCAGGCTTCTTCAGATCTGGCTGTGCATATCCCATGGAAATCTGTAGTTGTGAGGACAGTCCTAGCCAATGTTCCCTTTCCTTGCTTCTACCACCCTTCTGCTGGGGAAGTTCAGACCCTCAATGCAGCCACTTGCTATCAACCACTTGTTCAAGATGCAGCCCGAACTCCTGATAGCACTGAGGCCAAAACGACCTCTTAGGTCCTCCCACAGAACAAGAGAACATGAAACGGCCCGTGGGGCCTCTTGGAGGTCCCTGCTACTGGTATTAAGTGCTACAAAGGAGATTCCCTGAGAAAGGAAGCAAAGACCTGTTTCCCAGCTTGCTCCCACTTTTTAAATGCCAAGAGAAAACAGACTAGAGGTTGTTAGATACAAATAGAGTTATTTTGTGATTGCTTTCCCTATTCAAGGCTGTTTATTTTAGGCTGATTTAATAATTACTTTGAAGGAGCCCCGGTGGTGTAATGGTTGAAGCGCTCGGCTGCTGAAAGGTTGATGGTTCAAACCTACCCAGCAGCTCTGCAGGAGAAAGACCTGGCAATTGCTCACATAAAGATTACAGCCTAGAAAACTCTATGGGGCAGTTCTACTCTGCCCTACAGCATTGCTATAAGTTAGAATCGACTTGATGGTACCTAACAGCAACAATAATTACTTTACTGGCAGGGTTGAGGGCCCCTTGGACCCACTCCTCAAGGATGACACTGGGCCCTGTGGCTCCCTACAAACAGCACCCCCCTTGAGGCAGAGTCCAGAACTAAACCGGTCTTTGTGAACAGGAGATAAAGCAATGACCCAGGGTGTTTGGTGTTGTGCTGGGCAGCAATAAAGCCCAGGCACAGTGGTTTAATCAGAATGCCTCAGGAGACTTGGGGGTCCCTTAACTTTCTGAAATTCATAGTTTCAAACAAACTGTCCACAGTATATATTTCTCTCCTGACTTGCTATAATGTTTTTGATCCAGCACACTATATAAACCTGGAACTTTCTGTACTGTTTTAGTATAGCATAGTTTAGCATTCCCCTGATGCATCAGAGTTGAGGTCATCAGAGATAGGCTGACGAAACCCTCCAGCAGTGAAACAAACAGTCTTCCAGAATGAACTAAATTATCCTTATTTTCATTAGGAATGAGACAAATGTGGGAATCCCACACCAAGTAAGAAAATCAACCAACTGATTTGTTCATTCTGGAACGAATAAATACAGATAATAATTTGTACATTCTGATTAATAGCCATATAAAATCTCAAAATTTTATAACTGTTCCACTTTAATCAATGTATTTTTTAATTTGAATAACCAAGGTCCTGAATAATTTGAGGAGTATTAGACAGAAACCTTCATATTAAATCCAGACCATTATTTGAACTCTCTCATGTCCCAAGTATAATAACTTACACTTTATCTGAAGGACCTTGCTTTTTCAAGGTGGATGCTTCGAAGGAGACAATTTCTTCTGCAAACTGGCTGGTACCTGAAGTCAGGCCTCCAAAAATGCACTTTTCTATTTGTGTGTGTGTGTTTTAAACAGTAGCAATTTTTGTGAACTCAGGTAGTATAAATGCTTCAATTAATTTCATGTGTGTCATTACTGCATATATCTGGGGCCTGGTGATTTCCTGAGATCCAGGCCCCATTACAGGTATCACTCACTGCTTTCACCATTGCCCTCGAGCAGTGAAATACTTTAGCAATGCTCAGAACAGAGTTCAAGCCTATCTTGTATTTGATTTACCTACCAGCACCAAGAATAGGGTCAAAAAGAAAGCTTGCTGACTAAAGATACAGAAAGGAAAGAAGAAATGTTCACATTTTTACTTCGGTTGCCTCAACATTAACACTCTTAAGCATACTCATATCATAAACTTGGATGGACACTGAATGACAAACTACATTAGAAGAATCTTTAACTATCTTTTTGGTTAAAAAAATCTGTTTTTTGTTATCTTCTGATTCACCATGATAAGGTACAAGTACACAAATACATAATTTAAAAAACTAAAACAGCATTGGTGTTTAATTAAGATGGTGTAAACCTACCCCCGTCATGGCTGAAATGTGAACTTCTAGTTCTCTTTTGAGTTAAAAGCCTTATTTACCAGATCATAAGCAGGATGTTGTGGAAAAAGTGAGCCTCTGAAAACGGGCTGCTCTTAACACTAAGTTCAGTTTTACAAGAAGAAAACACTTGCCAATTCAGGTTTTTGATGTTGGCAATGCATTGTCCAAAATGAGAGGGAAAGGCGTAGAATCCCAGGAACACTGATACATCAATCAACCCAGAGAAAGGGTAGGAAAATGATTACAATTGACCTACTCTCTTGCCTCTTTGTTAAAAGGTGTGTGAATGTGTGTGTGTGTGGGGGGGGGGTTAGGCACACGAAGAAAGGAAGAAAGAGACAAACAGCATAAAGAGAAGTATCTCAGGTTAGAAAGAGGAGAAAAGCCAGGCCCAGTTAATTCTTTTCTGAGGACGCCCTTGTGTCACCTGAAGTACTGCCAGCGGTGTTCATTCTGGTCCTCTTCGGAGGGCTCCTCAACGTCAACTCTGGGCAGCACAAGAAGGGAACGTGAGTATACCAGGGACACCAGGGGAGCCAGGAGCTCTGGGGACATGACTCGGACCCCGTCCATCAAAGAATAGGCCATCTCACTTTAAATATAAATCCATACTTTCTCTTAAGCTGTCCCCTATTCTCTAAACCCAGAGAGGCAGAGAAACTGCTAAATATAAATTCAAAGCAACAAAGTTAGGAGCCAGGTTAAATGAAGATATGAAGCCAATTAGAAATGAAGATACACCTCTCAAAATACAATGTAATGAAATCATATGAATAAATGTAACTCATAAAAATGATTATTTATAGAATTTTTCAGGAATTTATCTAGTTCATAAAGCAAGATACATTCACATAAAAAACAGAAAACAAAAAGTTAATATTTGAAGTGGCATTACAGAAAAAGCAAAAGGTACTATATTACTGAAAACAGCAACGATAATTATGAAGACAAAGATGGCCACGTTGCTCGCAGCTTCAACCTGAAGATCAAGAGCACAACTTCTGCTATTCTCTTTACCTTGTGGCCTTAGGGTTGATATAGTCCATTTTCACCTTCCTTAATAATTGCTGAGTTATTCAGAGTGCAAGTTGAACTTTACCATCATGCTACAGCAGGGCTTCTCAACTTGGCAGTATTGACATTTGCGGCTGAATAATTCTTTCTTGTGAGGGGCTGCCCTATGCATTGCAGGATGTTTAGCAGCATCCTTGTCCTTTACCCACAAGATGCCAGTAGCTTTCCCATCCCCAGTTGCGACAACCAAAAATGTCTCCAGATATTGCCATATGTCCCATGGAGGTGCAAAATTGGCCTCGATTCAGAACCACTGTGCTAGATCATGCATTCTCAGTGGGGGTGATATCACCCCCAAGGATGTAAAAATTGGTTCTTGTAGGGGGGGGACAAAAAAATTCTTAGATACTACAATGGTTTGTAGCTTTCTGAAGGGCCACAATACATAAACAGATACACAGTATGTCTGTGGTATTAAAATTTCATTGGGGGAAGTAATTCGGGGAAAAATGCTGAAAAGGCTCCTTAGGGGGGAAATGATGAAAAAACGTTGAAAAACACTGTGCTAGACAATACTGAATCATCATGCTACTTATTATCCCCTGATTTTGAGATAGTACTTTTAATTAGTTAAATGTTTAGAGTGTGACTTAAACCAGATTCTATATATTACTATAACATTGAAAAATTATAATGACTATCAAAAAAAAGGTTTCTTTAATATGAGATTCACTGTGTCTTGAGTAATAATAATAGTGATAGTAATGATAAATGTACTGAGTGCTTACCATGTGCCAGATGGTACATTTAATGAAATAATTCTTTATCACATTTATTTATTATCACATTTATTACACTATTATCATCTCTATTTAGCCAGTGAGGAAACTGAGGGTTAGAGAGGTTAAATAAGTTGCCCAAGGTCATAAAGGTAAAAAATGGTGGTGTAAACATTTCAACTTGGGTGTCAGACCCCACAGCCGTAGCTCTTCACCTTATAGGATGCCACTTTGGGTTACAAAGTGGCATCTTTAAACTCTTTTAAAATATCCAGTTACAAATACTATTACATAAAAAGCTTAGGGGTTCTCCCTGCCATTATTCCTTACGTTATCTTGCAAAGAGTTTTATCGAAAATTATCAATCTAACACAATTATACCAAGCAGTGTGTTCTTACTTGTCCTTGAATGATTTTATTATTGTACTCTGTGGCGTGAAGGGTACCTGCTCATTTGGCTGATTAGGTGATCCCCCACCCCCATCACCACTTCATGGAGCTGGGGACTCCAAGGACAACCACTGTGCCACTAAAATGCACTCAGGACTTGTACAAGGCTCATCTGCTGAAGTATTCCCATGATCACTGTCTTAAGTTGCCAAAATTATACACTTTGTGAATAATAACACTTAAGAGACTAAGAAAAAATATTATGTGGTTTAAGCTTTACCATAAAACAATTAAAATTATTTTGCCGTTATTTTTTAAAACATCAATCACAATATATCAATTTAATAAAATAGATTTATGGAAAACAATGACCTGGCTTTGTATTTTTAAGTTATATTAATTTTTATTTTATACACACACTTAAAATTAGCCATGGTTAAAATCACAGTCAATTTCTATTTATGGTGGAACTCCAAAACCCACCCTGGACTGCTGACTTTTGAGCAGCCACTTAATTGCTCAACAAGGCCTCTACCAGAAGCCTGGAGAAATGAGCAACAAGGAGGTACTGATCCCACTAACATTACAGAGGTCAAAACACCACACTGAAATTTAGGGGGTTTCTGAATCAATTTAGAATAAGAACCTGGATTACGTAAATGATTTGCAGCCATTAAGTAACACCGTAAGCCACAAGCCAGAAAAACCTGTCAGTCTCACTACCTTTTCACAGGGAATTTCTTTTGCTGTAACCTCTGTAAATGTCATTTTCTATGCTGACATAATGGTTATTTATATACGTACATCTGGAAAAATGCAATGAACTGGTGCCATATGTATTTTTCACCAATGGGACACTTTGTTTCTTTACGTTGTCTAGGTAGAGTTGGATAGAAGGAAGGAAATAATAAAGATAGGAGCAGAAATCAATAAAATAGAAAACAGAAAAACAATACAGAAAATCATTAAAATAAAAAGCTAGTTCTTTGAAAAAAATCAATAAAGTTGACAAACTTCTACCAAGACTGTCAAAGAAAAAAAGAGAAAAGGCACAAATTAGCAATATTAGCAATGAAATAGGAGATATCCCTATAGACCATGTAGACATCAAAAGGTAAGGGACTACTATGAACAACTCTACACATATAAATTTAACAATGTAGATGGAATGATCCAACTTTGCAAACTACCACAACTCATCCAATACGAAATAGAAAATTTGAATATTAAACTGACTTCATAATTAACTCCCGAAAAAGAAACCTCCAGGCCCAGATGGTTTCACTGGAGAATTCTACCAAACATTTAAAGAAAAGAATTAACACCAATTCTACAAATATCTTCCAGAAAACAGAAGATTAGGGAACATGTCCCAACTCATTTTTCTGACGCCAGTATTACCCTGATACCAAATGGGTAAATGCAGTCCAAACAAAAGGCAACTGCACACCAATACTCCATGTGCCTGTCAGTTTGTTGTACTGTGGTGGCTTGAGTGTTGCTGTGATGCAGGAAGCTATGCCACTGGTATTTCAAATACCAGCAGCATCACTTATGGTGGACAGGTTTCAGTGAGCTTCCAGACTAAGACAGACTAGGAAGAAGGACCTGGGGATCTACTTCTGAAAAGATTAGCCAGTGAAAACCTTACGAACACCAGCGGAACACTGTCTGATATAGTGCGGGAAGATGAGGCCCTCAAGTTGGAAGGCACTCAAAATACAACTGCGGAAGAGCTGCCTCCTCAAAGCAGAGTCGACCTTAATGACATGGATGGAGTCAAGCTTTCGGGACCTTAGTTTGCTGATGCGGCACAACTCAAAGTGAGAAGAAACAGCTGCAAACATCCATTAATAATTGGAATGTGGAATGTATGAAGTATGTATCTAGGAAAATTGGAAATCATCAAAAATGAAATGGAACACATAAACATAGATATCCTAGGCATTAGTGAGCTGAAATGGACTGCAATTGGCTATTTTGAATAGGATAATCACATGGTCACTATGCCAGGAATGACAAATTAAAGAGGAATGGCATTGCATTCATCATCACAAAGAGCATTTCAAGATCTATCCTGAAGTACAATGTGGTCAGTGATAGGATAATATCCATACACCTATAAGGAAGACCAGTTAATATGACTATTACTCAAATTTACTCACCAACCACTAAGGCCAAAGATGATAAAATTGAAGATTTTTACCAACTTCTGCAGTCTTAAGTTGATCAAACATGCAATCAAAATGCATTGATAATTACTGGTGATTGGAATGCGAAAGCTGGAAACAAAGAAAAAGGATCAATAGTTGGAAAATACAGCCTTGGTGATAGAAATGACGCCAGAGATCACACATAGAATTTTGCAAGACCAATGACTTCTTCATTGCAAATACCTTTTTTTTCAACAACATAAACAGTGACTATACACATGGACCTCACCAGATGGAAAACACAGGAATCAAATTGACTACATTTGTGGAAACAGATGATGAAAAAGTTTAATATCATCAGTCAGAACAAGGCCAGAGGCCGTCTGTAGAACGGACCATCAATTGCTCATATGCAAGTTCAAGTGAAGCTGAAGAAAATTAGAACAAGTCCACAAGAGCCAAAGTACAACCTTGAGTTTATCCCACCTGAATTTAGAGACCATCTCAAGAGTAGATTTGACACATTGAACACTAATGACCGAAGGCAAGACGAGTTGTGGAATGACATCAAGGACATCATACATGAAGAAAGCAGGATATCATTAAAAAGACAGGAAAGAAAGAAAAGGCCAAAATGGAAGTCAGAAGAGACTCTGAAACTTGCTCTTCAACGCAGAGTAACTAAAACAAAAGGGAGAAATGATCAAGTAAAAGAGCAGAACAGAAGGTTTCAGAGGGTGGCTCAAGAAGACAAAGTAAAGTATTATAATGAAATGTGCAAGGATCTGGAGTTAGGAAACCAAAAGGGAAAAACACACTCAGCATTTCTCAAGCTGAAAGAACTGAAGAAAACATTCAAGTCTCAAATTACAATACTGAAAGATTCTACAGGGAAAATATTAAACGATGCAGGAAGCATCAAAAGCAGATGGAAGGAATACAAAGTCACTGTACCAAAAAGAATTGGTAGGTGTTCAATCACTTCAGGAGGTATCATATGATTAAGAACTGATGGTACTGAAAGAAGAAATCCAAGCTGCACTGAAGGCATTGGCAAAAAACAAGGCTCCAGGAATTGATGGGATACCAATTGAGATACTTCAACAAACAGATGCAGGGCTGGAGGTACTCATTCATCTATGCCAAGAAAT